GTGGTGTTGCACTTTGTGTCAGTGTCACTGTGTCCTTGTGGCAGTCGCCCGTTGACAAGCGCACACAGACTGCCTTAGAGGCACAAAGGCAGCTCGTGTGTGCTTGTCAACGAGCAAACACCACACGTACATGGTGTGTAGGAAGGCGTTTGAGCCAAACATTTGTGTGATGTCGAGTTTTGGTTTATGCCTGTAAAGGAGTTCAAAAGGTGTCCTCTCTCCCAGGAGTGTCTTTGGCGAACAGTTGTGCAGATCCCGTGTGGTGAGGTACACTAAAGACCAGAAGGTCTGTGGGAGGTGTGATGCCGCCAGAATTGTCCGTCCCATGTTGCTGATTGTTTGCTTTAAACACTTGGCAACACCGTTTTGTTCTGTTTTGTATGGGTTCAAATTCATGTGTAACATTTCTTTGGCGTTCAACCAATTGCTGAAGATGTTTTTCATGTACTGCCCCCGCCATAGGTCCAAACATTCTTGACCTTGAAATTAGTTTCTCTTTCCCATTGGTTGATGACCCTTGTGAATGCTTTGGGTATGTCTGATTTGTTATTAAGGATCACAATATCTGAAAATGTTGTTGCTACATTGTAAAGTCACTGTGAAACGGTTCCCGTTGACATCTTCTGGGAGAGGACCCATCACATCTGATACAATCACGTCCAACAAACCGAGTTCCCTTTCAGGACGGCCTAACTTTTCACTGTCTAGTGCTTTTACAGGTCAAACAATCCTTTTCATGTTCACATGTCCAAATCTCCTGTGCCAGAGGTATGCTAGGTCTACATTCATCTCAGCATTCAAGACAGTCACTTGTTGTGGTGAGCAGGATCTCTACTTAAGCAAAAAAATTAAAAATTATTCAGAAATTTTTATTTTTTGGTCAAACACAAAGTTATTATTGAGCTTGTAATTAGTAATCAAGGGTCTCATAGTTCATTTATAATCATCAATTCATTATCTTTATAATCATATATTTATTATATCATTTGATAAGAACATTCAAGAGAAAAGAAAAATTTGAAAAGATCTATAAAAATAGTATAAGAGTGAAAATGAAATTAAAAAAATTAGTAAGGAAGGATTGGATGAAGAAGAACATTTATTTTGGGTCTTAAAGAATGGAAACTGTTATGCAAAGAATGAAAGAAGATGGATAACATTAGCACAGTTGAAGGAAAATTTGAAAACATGGGTATTAAGAATTGGAAAATGGTTTTTAAGTTATTATTATGGAAGTTATGGGTTCAGGAAGGTTTTATTCTGAAATAGAAGTATGATATTAGGATCATCAGCAACTTTGATCACAGAGATTGATAAGGAAGGTGTGAAATTATTCAAGAAAGAGGGTATTTCAAAAAGGGTACTCACAAGGACCGCCAGATCCCCCCTCAACGTCGAGGGGGGTTGACAGCCTTGCAAATGTGTTGCAGATGTGTCCAATTCCATCCGCCTTTGTGTGTCCTAGCCTTAGCTAGCTCTTAGGTAAAAATTCCATGATCAGAAGCCTGACCATCTTTGTGCTCTCAGCCCGGGCCGAACTGCTCATTCAACGGAGATTTTGCTCAGAAAAATGGATGAGCCTATCTGGAAAACTGAACTTCAATATTTCACGTCACAGCCGAACGGATTGATGTTTATCATGGAACGACCAATCCATATCACCGTGTCTGTGTAGGCTTTGCTAGTCGACGAGCAAACACCAACTCCCTTTGAGGCAGAAAGGGAAGTCGTGCGCGCTTGTCGACGAGCGAACACTACCCGGACACGGTGTATACGTTTTGGAGCTTTGGATTGAGGATTCCAATGGGAATTCAAGAAAGCCAAAATTGGATCTTATGTTCCTGCAATCAAT